TTTTAATGAATTGTGTCTTTAACTTGTCACACAAAGTGAAAAATGTCCCCGGTAATAATCGTCCACACCCCTGACAAATATTAATTTACAATGATATAAAGCATAAAGGAAAGCAGCAAATCAACACATTTGACACACTGGGAATAGTGAATCTAAGAGTGTTCCTTTCTTCTGATTATAAAAATAATTGGTAACTACTGGAGTCTTGTTTTTCCTTCTTTGTAAGTTTTTAAATAAGTCGTTCTTTTCCATTTTTTGTTGTTGGCTGGCCACACGTAATTAACTGATGTACTATGAAAATGTTTCCATGTCTGACCATCACAAGAACAGAAATCATTCAAAATAAAGTGGTCAGAAGAAAACTGGAAAATGGAATGGAAAAATAATCAGTAGATTAGTCAATAATGACAACAACCATTAGTTATATGCCTAAAGGACAAATTCCTTAGACATCACTGTGCTGTGCAACTGATCCTCTTTCCAGCCTACAGAAAAATCAGTCATGCACTGATCTTTCCATCAGACACAATATTTGTCTCTGTGTAGAGCCGACTGTGGGAGTCTCTTATGGGTGTCACGCTGCTTTGCCTCCAGCTAGTGGATTCAGCATGCTCTCCCATACACTGCTCAGGTTAGCCACTTCAATGGCCTTCATTGTTGTTGCTTTCTGAGGAAGAGGCCCTCCTCTCCTCAGAAAGTGCTTTCATAACAGTTTATCTTTGGTTGTAATACGCTGAGCTCGTTCTCTCCTTTCACCCAAAAACCCGTCACCTCCATAAAGGTGTGGCACCCATCATTATCATACCGGACATTTCTGGGAGGTGAGTTGATGCAATAAAGCAAACAAACAAAAGAAGTCTGCAGCAAATCCTTATTTTGTAACCTGCCTGCACTTCGTTGTGAGCACGTATCGCCTGAGATCAACTCCACTGTGCAGTACTTTCTCTGTAATGAACGCAGCTTGACGCCAGCTACTGACAGCGCCTCTGTTTACACTGCCACTACTGGGCTGAGCTAAACACACCTGTAACGTTAACGTGGATCAATAGCTGCTAAATCCCACACATACTGACGGAATATCCTTGTAGTTCGTGTCTGTAGCTAACAGCTTATATGTCTCCATGTTCTCTAACAGGAGCGATAAGAGGCTAACGCGTATCTGTTGTTCGCTGTTACACAAACGGGAAACGAGTGTTAAAATAACGATGCAGCAATATTTTAAAAAAGGAGCTACAGCCTGAGTTAGCTTTGACAATAACACACGTCTGTGCTTAATGTAATGTTACCTTTGGTGTCTTCAACTGGCTTCAACACAATCTCACCAGAGTCGACAAACGAAACGTGACTCTTTTTATGCTGGCATGAAAACAACTAATGAGAACTTTTTTCCACCACGAAAACTCGCACACTTCCGCGTTCAGCTCGCGCAACGTCTCACGGGAAATGTAGTTTTGCTGTCATGTCCTGTTTGCGCTTTAGGCTCTCTACGAACTACGTTACCCACATGACAACTCGGCCTCATACCCATGGGAAATTTAGTTTTTAATGCAAAAGTTACGAATACGGAACTACTGTATAAGTACTGTAAAACAGACGTTAGGGGTTTTGCGTATATTAAAATCATATTTGAAAACCTCCGCGGAGGAAAAAGACATCGTAGCTTAGCAACAGGTGTTTGTCTGAGGACACAGCACGTAAAGGTGTAGCAGACTGTATTTATAGTAGGCTGTGGTTGTTACGCCCTCTAATGGTGTGATTCGTACAAACAGCAACAAACAGTCTATAACAAACTGTAATGCAAACTACACCAAACTTCAATTCACAAGAACTGCATGACAAATTTTATTTGTTAGATTACAAAATCTGAAGCTTTTGAAAATACACATAATTTACAAACAGAAATTCAGTGTACCCTGAAATGTAAAGTGGTTTAAATGGCAGTGAGTTCATCTTACATTTCAACTCTAAATCAAAACTATTCCTGATTTAAGCAGAGTAGCTTATCTTACAATATCATGTCTACGTTTTCAAATTCAGAGAAAGCTGAAAAACATTCAGGGATGCAGTAACATGACGTCGTTTACATAAAATCAACTCTAACAAACATGATCTGAAGAATGACGATGGGTATAAAGAAATTAATTAGAAATACAATTGGAAGTACGCACATTATTGTAACCGAGTAGTGCTTTCACACTTTGTGAGTGCAATCTACAATCACAACTACATTATAAATTAAATATACTCTACTTTAAGAAAGACAGCATTTTCTTAGAATAGGCTACAGTAACAATGTTGAGGGGCAAGATATATGACTGAAGTTTGTTTTCCTCATAAAGTAACCTCAATGAAAACCTTCTAATAAAGACAAGATGGTCACCACTTTGAAGAACTGGTTGCTAAGACAAAGTAATATTGAAATGGTAATAGTGTGAATATGAGTCAGTGTATTCCTCAAAAGAGCTATTTTTGTACTTTTCTTGTACAGGTTTTAGTGCTTTATCAATCTTATCCTAACTTGGGAAACATCTTAATGAAGAAACAGTAGAGTTGGAAGCACTCCTTCCACCCCTGAGAATGAACTTAATGTGTTACAAAATCACAGTGGAAAACCTAAAAATCTTACTGCATTGAAGACCATACTCTTTAATACTTTGATTTTGTCCACATTATTCAGTCTTTGTCCAGGTTATTCATTGTATGGTATGGCATGATGGTAAATTCAGGTTGTGCATTGAAAGTGCCTGAATACATGTGAAGCAATGTGGTCCATAGTCTTGTTAGTCCATCAAAAAGTTGATTATATATATTTTTACCTAACTACAAAACAATACGCAAGCCTTAGGGCAGTGTCAAAGTCTCGGTAGGAGGCAGTCGGTTTGCCAAACGTCATCATTTTAAACATAACATAAATCCCCATTTATGTTGGTTTGTTGGGGTATTTGCTCATAGTGGATTGAAGCATTGCATCAGCTGTGACTGTTAAACAGGATATAACATTAATATCCTCCGCCTGCTAGGTCCAGCAGTGACCCAGCAGCCTCCTGGGCCTCGGCATCAAGCTGAAGGATCTCCACGGTCTCCAGGTCCAACTCGGTGTCACCCGGTAGCACCAGGTACTGGTACTGGTGAGACTGATAATAGTGTAACTCGATGTACCCGCTGTCCGACAGGGGATCTTTCTCCATCTCCTCGCTGACCTCCTCCTGCTGGTAATCAATCGACTCCATGGTGACAAGCTCCTCGTGATCCGGGGTCAAAGGGCACGGTGGGTTTTCAGAGAAATTTGGGTTATCATTGGTTAAGGTTTGGGGTGAGGGTGAGAGGAGGAGGGTCTGAGAAAGAGGATCTGCACGAGAAACAAAAACAAAAAAGGAAGGAAACGACAGTGTTGAAGCTGAAAATGGGTCATTAATATTAATAACTCGGCTGATTGAACAACCACTTGTCAGATTCTTCAATGAGCCCATATAGCGCATAGGCTCGGAAATAAAACGAGGGCACATAAGAAGGGGGCTAAGCTAGGCTACTGCTCGGTTGCCTAGGCAATAGAAGGTTGTTTCCACGGCAACGGAACACAAACACAGGAACAATGTTGCATGCTGAGAAAGCCGCAGAGCAGGAGAAAAGCTGCAGGTGATAAAAGTGTCACAGAGAGCTGTTACTCCATTGATAAAATATTGTAGTCAAATGGGGTCAAATATGTAAGTTCTTGTGCTAATAATTAGGTGACGTGAGCCACCATCACTAACCTGAGATCTCCAAAGAGTCGCACACTGCAGGCACCCCAAATTCAGCTCCTTCCAACCTGCACACAACATGGTAAGATAGTTACAGTAGAGAAATCTGTAAATATAGTTGTTTTTGTTACACATACACCTCAGTAAGATACTGAAATTAAAATTCTATCCAGAAATATGCACTGCATTAACAGAAAAAACAACTCAATCAACTTCATCGAGTGAAGAAATATTGTGTGGTGCTGCAACTAATACAATTTCCCAAGTAATCAATCAATCAGTTTATCTATAAAAAACAGAAAACAGTAAAAACGCCAAACATAAAGTCTAAATTGCATGTTTTGTCCAACTAATAGTCCAAAATACAAAAATATTAAAATTAAATGTATTAAAAAAAGCAGCCAATTCTCACATCAGACACTGGTGCCAGAAAATGTTTCCTCAGATAAGTGACATAACCGATTATCAAAACAGTTGTGGAGTGATTGATTAATCAACTAATCCTATCACCACTAATACAGAGTATTGACTTTTTGTCTATTATCTGACAAAGAGTCAGTCAACAGAAAACGTATCCACCATAATCTAACTCCCAGCGTCACAGATACCGTATGACAATCAGTTCATTTAAATTCCTGGCAGCTGTTGAGACAAACGTTGAATTTATGGAGTTAGAGATGAATAAAACATGTAAACTGTGTGATTATACTCACAGTGCAGGCTTGTTAATCAGATTTGTGCTGTGATAACTGTGGGTCTTCCTCAGCACCTCGAGGAGTGCCGGCCGATACTCCGGGCACACACACCACAGCGATCCCTTCCCCACTGACTGTAACAAATATTCAAAACCACTTTAAAACATTCAAACTGCAGCAGCAAAGATGTTAGTTTTAATCAACACTGAGACCATACAACAACCATAGCACATGTGGAGTACATTATAATAATTTCCCTGTAGGGCAGTTTAATTGCTGCCTGAATATCTTGTATTTTATTCTCTTTCTTACTCTTTGCACTACGTTCAAAGTGCTGCTGTGCCAATGTGAATTTCCTCTGTGGGGGATCAATAAAGGAACCTCTTATCTTATCTGACAGAGCAACACATCTGGATTCAGTTTTTTACTCAGGGACATTTTAATAGGACGCCTGAACCTCTGTCCTATATTTTAAGCACAATGATTCACTACATGACTCGCTCTTAATGTGTTGAGCGTGAATCACGTGCCCACCTGGCTCTTGTCCCTCTGAATGCGGCGGAAGCTCTTGCTCAGGGACAGGTTGTGTCTGACAGAGTTCCTCCAGCCCCCAGAGGCTGTCCTGTAGTAGGGGAAATTGTTCACAATCCATTCGTAGATGTCCTTCACCGGAAGCCTCTTGTCAGATGAATCTTCTATTGCCATGAAAATCAGACTGCTGAAGGAGTACGGTGGCTTGGACGAGGCAGGCGGAAGAGATTGGGTGGGTGCGGAGGACTCTAGCTGAGGCAGCGGTATCATTTTGGGAAGGGGCTGCAGAGGTAACAGGTCGCCCCTCTGATGCAGCCAGCTGAGGCACGTCAGGTCATCTTGGTCAGATGCGTTCGCCGGGCTGAGACATTGTATGTTTTGTCCTTCGAGGCATTGAGATGCTGTGCAGTGTGAAAGAGGGGAGGAAGACTGAAAAGACTCTGCTGTTGCTGGAGAAAGTGAGGTAGGGGATGGGGGGAATGAAACAGGTGACAGTGGGAGTGAAACACGGCCATTAGAGCAGGTCTGCTGCGGAGACGAGGAGAAAGGCAGGGACCCTCCGAAAGCGGTAGGACACGGTGACAAGGGTGGCAGTGTATGAGAGCTGTTCTCCATCTCTCTCCCAGGAGGAAACATCCAGGGTCATTCAGCTGTACCTCTGATGAAAGGGAATGATAAATGTACATCAGGATTAAAACAGAGCAACTTTGTACTAAGGACTGAAAATGTGATCTTTTATATATATACAGTTATATATATATATTGTTGTATATATAGTTTGTTCTTAATAGATGTTGCTTGTATAAT